ATTGATTATCCATCAAGTTGTGGAAACTGAACTGACATGTTTTTGTTTAAGAAATTGATTGAACCTGCATTCTTATGAAAGTTACTTACAGGAGTAGGCCTATGTAACGACATAGGTTGGCTGGTTAAGAGTTGGTCGAAAACGCCTTGGTAATATCAAACCATTTAAACTGAAGTATTTATATACTTCTTTATTTTGCGTAGGCATTGTGTTCCCTAACATCCCGTATTGAATGTTGAAAGCGTTGTGTTTGAAACTATCGCTCCAATTGTTTTGTTTCATGCTCCGAATAGAAACTTACTCTAACTATTTGTCTGAATTTTCCAATGTATAAAAAGAAGAGTAACTGCTAGTATCAAAATGTCATACCGATGAGTTTGAATAGAATCAATGCTTTTGTTTTTGAAGGTCCTACTACAGCCTTACTAACTTTTTTAAAATTTATTGAAACAAGTTATGTATACTTTCAGACTATTAATAATAATAATAATTTATTCCCAAATAACAGTTTGTTACATGAGGCATGCCAGTTTACAGGCAAGATCGAATTGATGCAAATGATACAATATCAACTGTAGTAAATTACAAAGCTGGGTTGATAATTCATAAGATACGAATGTAGATGGTTTTAATCAGGACCACAGTTGGTGCGCTTCATGAAAGCTGCGTTGCAAATGTGCAACTGATGGTCAAGGATAGGTCTATTGAAGGTGTGAGCTTCTAAATGTAGTAACCTTATGTCCCTTTGGAATGTCTAAGGCTTTGAGGATGGTGCAGGACGAAGTCACCCGTTCCATATCTCAAGGGGGCTGAAAAAAGGAGCAAGTAAAAGAAAACACGAGGGGAAGAGTAGCCAACATTTATGAAGGAATGTTTAAGGCATGATTACTCAGTCTAATTTTCTTTTATTGAGGTATTTGTTAAGAAAGAGCATTTTAATAGGTTAAAGAAAATAAGTGTTAACAAGGTGTGAGTGGACATACAGCTGACAAATGGAGGCGATTCAGAAAGGAGCTGAGATTATGGGATTATGTATGATTATAAAATAAAATATAGTGCTAGAAACAGTATTGTGATATACAATTGGCTGTCTTCCTTTTATTATCGAAGCTACTAGAGCCCCTTTCGTTTTTTGTATTCTTTTTTTCAGGTATTATAGGGTCTTGAGTAGGCTTCGTATATTAGCGAATTGTCTAGTTTGCTTGTAATAGGATTTCTGGGTAGGAAGTGAAACCAATTCAACGTTCGTAACACGATTTAAAGAGGTATTTTGCGTGATAAATCAGCATCAATACCATAAGTTCGTGACATCCCACCAAACCATAAGGAGCCGTAATTAAACAAAATGTTCTGCCCTACAGAGATGGGTGGATTGAATTTATCTCCCCACCATCATGTTTGCTGGTCAGTAACGCCACCCTCCCTCCTTTTGTGATGTTAGGCTCTCTTATGTTTGTGGTAAGTATGAATACTGCTTTAATCAAAGCCCATAGTTGGAATACACTGTCTCTACTAGGTCCATGTTACAAGCAAATCAGATAGTTGAAAAGTCTGTTTTATGGGTTAGATGTCCATATAGTATGTCACACTGCTATGAAAATAACTAATGGTTTAAAGAAGTAAGGACTAATAGCAAATTAAAAGATATGAGAGGGTATAAAATTGTAGAAAAAAAAGATTTCAGGGTAAGACAAATAAAACATTGAAAAACTCACAAGACTTTGTGGCCAAATTTTGAGCTTTGTATGATCGGCCTTAGTGGATCAGCATCCATAAGATTGAGCTATCTGTCTACTTGCAGTAGAAAAAAGGCATGAATTTTAGGAAGAATAATGTACATTTAACCTGTAGAGATTTGGGAACTGAAAGCTAGGGTTAGGAGCATAAGGCCATGAATAATAAACAATGAATAATAGGAAAGGATAAGCCATATATTCTGTGATTTGGTTATATTTGTATTAGTAACAGTCGAACTTGTTATAATCTTGTTCTTTCTATATACTAGGCGGTCCGTAATAAAGTGTCTCATTATGGCCATCCCTTTTCATAAAATTTAATACATGAGTCACTCGCTCTCATTGAGGTTCTAAGATCGCATCAATTACGGTTAATAAGTTTATGGAATTGCTCGGAGAGGCAATGTTGAAACCGATATCAAACATGCTAGTTCCTTCTTTAATCAAATTTGCCATGAAGTCTCCAACGTGTAACAGATTTGTTTAAGATACGACGTTTAGGGTCGCCTTAAGGTGTTTCTAAAGTGCCTTAGCTTGCTGAAGAATTTAAATCATAGTTGGGAGCGATATAAATGTGAAAGTATGTTGCCTGATACCCATTCCTACCTGATCGTCACCTGTAATAGAACACGCGAGAACAATCTGTTGTGTAACACACATTGGTGAGTACACTCCAATTGAGCGTAAGCAGTATCCCTGATTGAACAAATAAATGGTTCCACCCTGGTGTCCGAGCAGCTATCAAGCCGAATGTTTGGCAATTTTTAAAATATGAAATGAATAAGAGCCATAAGGCGAAAGAACTTCCCTGATACTACTGTAAAAATACAAGTTAACGAAATTTAACAGATGTTTCTCAGGTTTGTTTGTTAATCCGTTTCTAGTTTTGACCATGTATACCTCAACCTTGTAGATTTTTTTCATAAGTAAGTGAATTTGTATACCTTGAAACTCTCGTGTACAATTTTACATGCTGGGAAGAGGCATTACTTGTAAGGTAAATTACTGCTGAAGCGTTTGCTTGCGCTCTCACCGAATAATGGGCTTCAGAACTTTGGCTTCTCGTCAACTAATATGGTAGTCTGTAAACACATATTAAGATCTGGACCGTCAAATCCCAAGTCCACTGAATAACGCAATTTATAGCAACCACCTCATTGCTTTCCAACTATAAGTAAATTAGAACAGCCCTACTATCAGTTAAAAGCCTTTCTTCCTCCTGGAAATAAAGAGCGACGGGCAGGCGCGATTTCATTCGTTTCACTCCAACTTTGAGGAATATTGAGAGCTGACACTGGATGCACGTAGACCTGAAACATCAGGACTTTAAAGGAATGGTTAGCCTCGAGAGGAGAAAATTGGGAGAAAGAGTTGCCATTGGCGTTGCTGGCACATCGTGTCTCCATACAAGGAATAACCAATAAGCCATTATTCCTGCTTGTGTATGGTAGACAATCACAACTTCCAATGCATAATAAAACGTGGCCACAATAACGAAGGTGGACGGTAAAAAGGTTAAAAAAAGAAAGGAAGGAGGCAGTAGGGAACGGGGAAACGTTTTGTAGAGGGGGACCTGGTAAATGTAGATAACAGGAGGGCGACATAGCAGTGAGATCAGGGTCAGGAAAGCTGACCCCGAAGTGGGAAGGACTGTGCATTGTCACGGAGAAACGTGGCTCGGTCTACACTACCTGGAGAGAAGACAAACAGAAGCGCGTAAATGTTGGTCAACAGTAGAGATGGTTTCAAGAACATCATCAGTGCGAATCACGAACGGCACCGAAGAAAACAGCGATACGGTAACCAGAAGGACTGTGAGAACAGCTTACTAAAACGGGGGACGAGTGTGGTATATGCTACTTATGTTGACATAAGTAGTATATAGCGCTAGTTAGAATAGAACGTCTGAAAGCAGAAGGTTGGGAAGATCGAGGAGAAAAGAACGGGAACAGGAAGCGATTGATATGGAAATGCAGGAGCAATGAAGTCTGAAATAATTAATGAACATTTTGCAAATGAAATATTGGAGTATAGTTTTTCATTTTATTAAGTAACCGTAATTTTGTACTAAATATAATCAGCTGTCTTCAGCTGTGTTCTCCTTCACTAACAAATCACTTATTTCAGTAAGAAGAGGTAACTGTGTTTTTACCGCCTATTGTATGACTTACAACAGAAAGCAAAAACACGACATTAATCTCTTGCTAATTAACCCCTTTCTCTAACAAATGACAGCAGGAGTGAGAAGACAAACGTAAGATTTCGATACATCTGCATGAATAAAAAAGTAAATTGCTTAACTGGGAAAAATGCGACTATTTTGTTAGGGTCATCATAGAGTTGAACGATTAATCACCTCTATTTTGGATTGTGCTTTCACTTCACGTATTGAAATCTTTTCTTAAACATTTGTACAACGTTACTTTTGTACAAGGGGTAGATGAAGAAGTTTCTGAAATGTCATGTCACCATTAGACTTGTGGTATCTAAATTCCGAAACTTTTTGGGAATATATTACTAGTTATCAGGTCCTTGTAGTCTACGTGTGTATTACGAAGGTGGCCCCTATTTACAAGAGTATGACTAGTGTTTAAATAATTTCAAGAATCTTAAAGAACACAGTATTACTCAGTAATAAAAGAAGTGACTAAGAGGTGGCTGTCTCAGTACGTTTAGAACGGAAGTGAATGTCAAGTCCTCTTTCGAAACATCAACAGAGTCACCATATATATATTTTGTCCGTGCTTTCTCACATTCCGACCTTAAATTATTCCTGCCTAGATATGAATTAATACTAGGGTGCATTGGTAATCTTTCAAGGGAGAGATGACCGGCAGTATGACTCGTTATGATCAAATGTTCCTTGTGCTTATGTGGTGAAGAGGCCTTGAGCTCAAGGTTCTGTGTAAGTTTTTTCCATATTCTAAGTACTTTCCCTTGAACTCATCATTGTATGAGAATGCACTCCTAAGGTGGGAAGGTGAGAAAAAAGTTCCGTTCCAGCTAGGCCCAAACTTGAGTGGTGAAGATGCTTCAGAATAATACATGCGACAAGTTACCTAGAGCTCTGTAGAGACCCCAAGCGAGTATTTGTTATGTTATCTAAAGAATACTTCCATTTATTTCTACCTGATTTTTACTTGATTATATGCGGTAGATCCGGTTGTGCGCTAAAATATGGGGAAGTAGGATATTAGCCTATTTTAATACATCGGCAGTAGCTGAACAGCAGTTGGTTTGAACTAACGTTTTACAGGACTGGAGGGAAACGCGCTGGCGGGACTCTTGGTTCTTAAATGTGTCTAGCGCAGTTTTGGACGTTGGTGGTAAGTGGTTTTGATGGTGATACAGGGATACAGTCATCTTCTGTTCCTACCTTGTAGACTGTCCAATCCTGACCTAAGCATCCTTTTCAGTCAATAACCAATCACATCAACCCTTACACCCTACATTTTAAAAGTATAACGGTAATAATAGTTCTGATATTATTACCAACAGTTCATTAGTATAGTGTACTCCCAACCCTTTTTTCCTAATCTCTCGGACAAGCTTGTCATTCATCCTTGACACCACTAGTTTTATCCGGGTTTAAGAGCATGGCTACAAATAACGAGATGGTTTATTTTATCGATTCTAGGAGTCCCTTAGTCCTGTAGTAAAAGTAACAGATTAAAAAAGTGGTTTGTGAAGGATTAAGGCTGGAAGATAAAGAGTGAACTATCGGAAATGATTTAGGAGAAGCTAGTGAACAGTTCTAAGCATCTTCAGTCACTAACCGCAAATATCTTGTCAGTCGCGACCAGTTAGTGTATTACCACCGAAGTTGGAGCTAACAGTCAATAGTCGTATTGACCATATCCTGGTCTGTCCACCACTTGTTTTATTCCTTACATCCGCTACGTTACCTAGCATTACATATCAGAGTAAGTAGTGGTTAGGTATTAAGGTATTGTAGTTCCTTGTCTTAAAATCTTCGGCTTATTTGCAAAGTAAACGTGATCACTGATGTCTTGAATTCTGAATCACGATGGGGATCAAAAACTACTATGTGTCGTAGTTTTTAAGTTAAATAAAGTAGTTGAAAGCTAGATACGTAATCTAACAGTGCCAATGTTAATGTTAGCGTTGAGACCTTTTCTCATTTAGTTCAATCCTTCTGCGTTCCCACGTAATTTAATTACATCTCACATAATCAACTCTCGAATGTCATTAGTTGCGAAAAAATTGAAGGCCAGTGAACATATACTTCTTTGTGGTCAGGCAGTTATGTTTTCACTATTTGGGATTTCCCATAAAAGCTTTTCGTAACTTGAAACAGTCAGTCAGTAACAACGTAGAACTTCGTAAGTACGTACATCAGTTTGAGTTGTCATATCACATTAGCAAAGAGATGCAGTGGTCGATTGAAACCCCGTAGTGGTAGAGGTGGTAAGAGTATAAGCAGTAATCGGAAAGATTAGGGTTTGAAGATGTTATTCAAGGAGTATAATACAGTGAAATAAATTTAGAAAGAAGAAGGAAGAGACATGACAAACTCAGAAGATTAGAATTCGCGAGAACACAAAGAGTGGATGCATCTGGGCCATTGCAAAGGACTTTGATCCATGTCATGCAGGGTATCTAACAATCGGTTGCTATAATCTCGCGGTCCCCAATTAGGTAGTCTACACCTACCAACATGGCTCAGTTCACTTGTCAGTGACTTCATGGATTTGTGCCATGTTTTGCTCTGGTCGCTCCTAGCTTTCTCCCAACCTACTCCTACACCATAATTTATTTATTTATTTCAACGCAGATGTAGGTACAAGGAGGCACCAAAGACATAGGCGCCACATAAATCATTCGATATGTGTAAGGGCTGTGATACTGCCCGGGTACCCAAACCGAAGCAGGTGGTTTTCTTAGGAGGCCACTCCCCGAGCCTTCGACCTAAAGGTCTGATCCACAAGGCAGTGGAGCATCGTAAGGAGATGCAGTCCCATGGTAGCCGGTGACCAACAATTGGTTCATACGCCATTTGTTCCCACAGGATACTGGAGCCCATGTGCACCATTGATTTGGGATCCGGTTAATGCGCCGGACATTCGCTTTTCGTCCTCTCATTTTTGTAAACAACACCCCCGCCACGAGAAGGCAGTTAGTAGGACTTCCCTGGCAGAGGCTATATACACGTGGCCATGTGAGAGCATTTCGAGAGGGAGAGCGGACTCTCCTCACTCTCGGCCATACCAGGGCATTTGGGGGCCCTACACCATAAAACATCGCTCGTCGGGGTAGTCGGTGGTTGGGCATACGTAACACATGTCCCAGCCATCCCAACTGATGAAGTTTCACTACTTCATCAATTGATTTGCCATCCTTACCTAGTACCCGTTTCCTAACAACTGCATTACTTACTTACTCGATGGTCCCAGGATATACGAGCAATATTTCGAAGACACCTATGATCAAATACTAGTAACCTACGAATATCCTCCACTCTTACCGGCCATGTTTCACTGCCATAAAGTAGGACGAAAAGAACTGCTGCGCAGTGAACACGTCCTTTGATTGATAGACGGATATTTCGCCTACGCCATAAATGACGCAAGTTGGCAAAAACTAGTCGAGCCTTCTGTATCCGTGCTGAGATTTCGTCACACACCAGACCACAAGGGCTGATGAGACTTCCAAGATAAGTAAAGCGGTCGACACACTCAACTACTTCACTCCCTATAATTAGTTCGGGTGTCGATGCAACCCAATTCTGAAGCAACATTTAACATTTCGGTGGGGAGGATCTCATCCCGAACATGCTTGCATTGTTGCTTAGAGTGGTCAGAAGACTCTGCATTTTGTCAGCGTCTTCATTAAATAGAACTATGTCATCGGCATATTCTATGTCAAAAGTGAATCTTCCGGTAGAAGTTCAACCCCTGGAAATTTAGATGAGGAAAGTGTTATCTCCAAAAGCACGTAAACAACAGAGTTAAACAAGAATGGAGAGAGTGGACAGCCCTGACGAACACCACTTGAGGTAATCAATTCTGATGACAGTTCGCCATAAGCTCTCACTCTACCAGTTGTGTTCGAGTAGAGAGCCTTTATAAGGTTAATGTGCTTCTTTCTCTAATCTGTTCTTCACGAGCTTTGGTTAGGCGTCGAAGTATTATTGAAGCTAATATTTTAGACACTATATTAGTCAAACTGATTCCTCTGTGATTGTCACAAGAGGACTTTTGTCCTTTCTTATAGACTGGCACAATCAGTGATTGAGACCAGTCAGATGGGATTACGTCCAGTTCCCAAATTCTACCTAAGACCTCAGTTAATCTCACTAAATACTGAACCACCATCCTTAAAAATCTCAGGAGTAAACCTGTCAGGGCCTGCTGCTCTCCCTCGCTTCAGATTTTCAACTTCGTAAAGAGACGGAGGACCTACATTAACTTGCCATTCAGGTTGACTGGAGATCGTGGGAAACCGAAGTGTGGCTGAAGGCCAGTTGAACTGATCCCTAAAGTGTTCTGCCCATCGATCCAATCTCCTGGATTGAGAATGTATAATATGTCCATCTTTCTCTGAGAGTGTTTCGCTAACAGTCGGTTTCCTAATACCGGTTTCCTTAACAAGTCTGAACAATTGTCTGCTATTACCTATTGCCGCTGCCTTTTCCATCTCTCTTGCTTTCGCTACCCACCACTGTTCACGATCATTGCGTAGACTTCTTGTCAGCTTGCGCTTAAGCTGACTCCGCTCTTCATTATGTTCAGAGCCAGGTGGAATGAGTTTCCGAGCATCTATCAGTGCGATAGATGCTGCTGAGATCCAGTGTTGCTCCCTAACCTTGTGGTTTACCTTACTAGCAGATATCACTGCTGTTTCCACAGCTTTTCGGATATCATTCCATGCTGCCTCGGGGTGGGCATCACATACATGGCTGCCTAACTGTTTTCCTAGTTGTTCCTGAAATATACTCTTAGCTTGACTATCATTAAGTAGGCCCCTAAGAGGTTTCCTTGCAGCGTCTTTCCTACGTCCAGTAAGACGCAGCAAATACGCGCTCGTACTAGAGCATGATCTGAATCTAGGCATGTGCTCCAGAATGAGCGACAGTCTTCTATCGAGCCCCTCCATCGGTGGCTGACAGTCACCACTTGAGGTTGCAAAAGCAAATGACAGTTCGCCATAAGCTCTGACTCGACTAGTAGTGTTCGAACGAGGTTTATGTACTTCTGAGGTAAGCCTTTCAATGACAGACACTGCCATAGAACCTCGCGGTCTACAGAGTCAGATGCTGCTTTCAAGAAAGACTACCATTATCGGACGCCGATAAGCATGACTGTGTTCTAGAACCGATAATTATTGAGGCTAGTATTTTAGATGCTATGTTAGTCAAACTAATCCCTCTATGGTTATCACAGGATTATTTTGACCACTTCTTATATGTTGCGACCAGTCAAATGGGATTACTTCCAGCTCTTAGATCTTAGTTAAAATATTAGTCAACCTAATCGCTGAAATTGGACCACTATCCTTAAAGACCTCCGGAGCCAATCCATCTGCATCAGCTGCTCTTCCTCGTTTCAGATCAACTATAGTCTTTTGAAATTCAGATAGAGTCAGAGGACCTACTTCAATGTTCCATTCACGCTGTCTGGGAATGGTGGGTAGTTGTAGATTAGCTGAAGCCAGCTGAACTGCTCCTTAAAAATTTCCGCCCATCGTTCTAAACGTCGACTGGGAGCAGATAAGTGTCGTCTTTTTCTGCTGTAGTCTCACTTACACTTGACTTATTAGTTCCAGTTTCTTTTATTAGTCTGTAGAGCTGTTTTGTGTTACCTACAGCCGCCGCCTTTTCCATCTTTTTTTTGCTTTCGTTGCTCACCACTGCTCACGATCGTTCCTTAGACTTTTACTTAACTTAGACCTGATTTGTTTTTGCTGTTCATCGTGTTCAGAGCCTGATGGGATGAGTTTACGAGAATCCATCAGTGCAATAGACTTAGAAGAAATCCATAGGTTTTTTGTAACCCTTTAGTTTAAATCACTAACAGATGTTACTGCTGTTTCCACAGCTGTTTGTATATCTTTTCAAGCAACATCTGGATCAGCCTCGTTTTCATAACTAGCTAAGTGTGACCTCGATTGTTCCTGGGACCTACCTTTGGTTTTCTTATTACCCAATTCAATTCTAATGGGTCTTTTTAGTGTGACTTTTCTGCGTCCAGTATTTATTTTAACACATAGATATTGGTACAAGGGGGCACCGAATACATAGGTGCCACATAAATCATTCGATTTGTGTGAGGGCTGTGATACTGCCCGGGTACCCAAACCGAAGCAGGTGGATTTCTTAGGGGCCACTCCCCGAGCCTTTGACCTAAAGGTCTGATCCACAAGGCAGTGGAACATCGTAAGGAGATGCAGTCCCATGGTAGCCGGTGACCAACAATTGGTTCATACGCCATTTGTTCCCACAGGATACTGGAGCCCATGTGCACCATTGATTTGAGATCCGGTTAATGCGCCGGACATTCGCTTTTCGTCCTCTCATTTTTGTAAACAACACCCCCGCCACGAGAAGGCAGTTAGTAGGACTTCCCTGGCAGAGGCTATATACACGTGGCCATGTGAGAGCATTTCGAGAGGGAGAGCGGACTCTCCTCACTCTCGGCCATACCAGGGCATTTGAGGGCGAAGCGTAAGCAAATGCGTGCCCGTATTGGAACATGATCAGAGTCTAAACATGTACTCTCGAACGAGTGGCAGTCTTCTGTCGAGCCCCTGCAATGATGACTGATGGCAATATGGTCTCTTTGAGTCCATCGTTGGTTTAGTGCAGGCGGTCACTATGTTAGACGATGTCCCTCCTTATGCTTAAAACTAGTGCTTGTTAAAAATGAATGATTGTCTGAACACAGCTGCAGCAGATAGTCAACATTATCTGTTCACTGAGTCGGAATACCAAGATACCCATATAAATGTCTTTCTGTTTGGTTTAAGCTACCTACCTGGACATTAAAGTCACCTGCTACGAGTACTATGTCTGAGTGTTTAGCTTTTGAAGAATTTCAGAAAGCTTTCTATAAAAGTAATCTTCTACTTCATCCATGCTGCAGTCAGTGGGAGCGTAGGCGGAAATGAAGAAAAGGTAACGTGTGTTCATATCCTTCCGAGTTCTTACGGAGCAGTTTAACCGAATACCACAGGCGACTGTTAACAGTGATCTACTCTAGTAGTGCTTGTTCTGCCTTCGTACTTAGTGCTATGCCTGCACCCGCCAGTTCACGAGAACTAGTCGTCGGGTGGTCAGATACACGGAGGGTGTATCTCGTCAGCTCCCCGTTTCGACGAGGTGAGGTCAAGTGGATGACCACACCAGGATCCTGTATGCGTGTTTCTGAGACACAGCATCCACCAGTGGTACGAGATTCTAGGGTTTTAGACAAGGAGGCCAGCTGACCAATTTGACATAGGGCGCGTTCGTTGAAGGCTCCAATGTGTAGTTTGGAGCGAGGTTTCAATAGACCTGAGAGTGTTTTGCGTACTAGAATCATTGGCTATGGTGGCACTTGAGGAGAAAGTTTAGAGTTGAAAGTCGATGTAGGAGGAATAACAGGAATTGAAGAGGGAGTTTGATTATGAATACAGTGGTTTTGAGTGCTGTTTAGAAGTACGAGGGCGGTTATCACTTTCTTGTTGCCCACACCGTAGAAGGGTTCTTCTGGAGGTACCTGAAAAGGAAATTGGTTTAGAGGTGGTCTCAGTGACCTGATAGTGTAACCGCAGTGCCCAAGGGACAACTGCCTGAGGTCGGTCACACACGACATTTTTATGGGTAATTTTCGTGTTAGCTCCGTACTTGTTGAAACCTTACCACCGGAGACAGATATCCGTGAGTTTTGGCGAGGTGTGTATTTTTAGGGTCGACCTTTTTTTAACCACACCCCTCCTTGTGGGAAGGCATCATCGCTGTCATGCTGGTTGTCTGAAGGAAACACCTTACTGCCGTTACACCTTTGTACAGTCAGCATTACAACTTCACCCTCAGACCTTGGGTTTATTGCTTTTAGTCTTACCGCTCTTCAAGTGACCTGTCTGATATGGTTGAACCTTAAGGAATGATCGTTCCAGCCAGTATAGCTCGACCAGTTCACCACGATAGGCAAGCCCGACCACCACGCCAAGGTAGCAACAACGGTCGGGTGGTTCATCATCTATATCTCTCTCGGTCTTGAACTCCAATTTCCTTTCGTGCGTGCTCGAGGTTTTGTCTTTCTTTTTATTACTGCTACTACATTAGTGCTTTTTGGTTTGGCTATTCATCTTTTCATTCTCATCTCGTGTCAACGTGATATGTCAACTTGTTTATATTTGTCTGTCCAACCTGTTACAGGATCTTCCATATTCCACTTAAAGTTTTTGACTGGGATTTTTTTCCCATTTTTTCTTGGTTAATGAAGTTGACATCTTCAAGTGTTAGATACCTCTTTCATTAAAAAATTATGTTCACCGTCTCGGACAATGAATGATTGAACTATCATAATGATAGGAGAGTGTTACTTTAAGGGTAAGAACCCATTAAAAGCAAATGGTGGCTTGGTTTCAGCAGTCTAATCAATAGTCTGAAAGTAATTATCCAGTATATCCGTTTATTATTTGCCATAACTAGTTTTTTATTAAATTAGCGACTTAGGAAGTTATTTTTGCTTGTCAATAAAATGTAACAAATGGTTAGTGCATAACAGTGTAACTATAAGAGTATAGGAGGTCAATCCATTCTTCAGAAATATGACTTAAAATCAGTTGATCGTTAATTCGTAATAGCGTATTTTAGACCATTATTCTATGGAAAAATCGGTCAAATTTGGGAAAACCAAGTGACCATCCCTAGAGTATTAAGCAATAATCACATCATTTTTGTAGAGCTTGCTAGTCGATATTCTTGAACTGTACTACTTATGGTTATTTTGTTGTTAGATATTCCTTATGGAATAATATACTTGTTGTCAATAATATCCTAGTCGATATCAAAATAGGGTAACACATTTCATAAATCTGTATTATTTGAAGTTGCTACATTTCACGTCATCATAGAGAAGATAAATTAACAATAAAGAAGGTAAATTAAGATGTCAAACAACCTGGAAAACTTTTTCAACAATTGTTATCTGATAGTCACTGTCACTGTGTGCTTTTCCGTCATGCAAGAAGAACTAAATACCGTAGATTTTACCGTTTCTAATACAGAATGAGTAATTAATCAGTCAAACGCAACGTAGGACTTGGTGCTTTTGTACACCGGTTCAAGTTACCCCATTCCACTAACACAGCAACGCGACGTTGTTAGGACAAACCTCAGAGTAGTCGAGTTAGTAACAGTATTATTGGTAATAAAACGAGCCATCAAAGATACGATTGGAGAATTATAAATTATTGAAGTAAAAAGTGTATGGGGAATCTAGAAACTTATAATCTAGGGGAATACAAAGAGTAAATACGCCTGCACCATCGCAAGTGATTTTGAGCAATGTCATTCAAAGTCTAATCACGCATAACCCAAATAGTATGTACATGTTAACGAGGCTCAATCCAATCCTCAGTGGCTTCGTTTAACCACTCTTGATTTGTGGAAAACTTTTCTCTTTTTTACAGGAGTGTAATGTGAACTTCTAAATGAACTAAAAATGAATGAACAAGATCAAATTATGTCCGAAATAGATGTATGTTTTTTAAGCTAGTTAGTAACTTTTTCAGCGAAAGCAAGTAACCGAGTTCATTGTTGAAGCTTCTGAACGTTTGTCTTTGAGAACAACACTGTTGGAGCAAAATTTAGCAGTTGCAGGCAAATGGCCAGATGATTCCTTCTTCGTAAAAAAGGATTCAACCTTGAAAAAGAATACTGCTTTTGTCAAGAAAGTGGTAAGATTGAATATTTTGCGAATTTTAAAAAATTGGCAGCGAAACTTTCTCGATAGCCAGAAAGATGCGCTTTTATCAGAGTTCGAGTCCCTGAATCTTTCTAAATATGTCGAAGAAGTCGCAACCGCGATCGTTGAAGCAAAAATAAAATTAACTGATATTCCTTTTATGTTGAAATTATGTTCAGCGATGTACCAACGGTATTCGGATTTTGGAGTGTTGTTTTTTGATGCGTGGAAGAAATCATTCTCTTCCCACAAAGATTTAAAGGTAATCAAAATAATTTTTTTGAAGAGATCCCCTAGAACACTAATCTTTCCAAACTACGAGTTGATTTGGCCTTATTCGCTGATCTTAATACAATCGGAATATTTCGAGACGCTGATGGTATCCGACTGTTGGCTGGGCAATTGACTCTTCTAACTGCAAATGATCATGATAACTTCTCCAATATCGGGATAATTAGTAGCTTCTGTAGACATTGCAGTGACGACTGGATAGGAGTCATTCCGCGTCGTATACGGTAAATCGATTGAACGTTTAAGCATGTTATTAATTCAGCTTTATGTGAAATTTAAAAAGCTATATTTTCACGGCTTTTAACTACAGTCTCGCATGCTAATATGATTCATTTTTCCTATCGTAATGGTGCACAATTAAGTTCACAGAATACTAAAAGTAACTTGAATGCTCATAAGAGTACTAATACATCTGTAAAATTACACTAAACTGAGAAGTTGTCTTTTGACGCTTCACAGTCTTTTGAAAGCCATTTGAAAAAATATATAGACTGAAAGCTAACGAGCGTATCGATAGTTGAAGGAACAAACATGGTCAGCTAATGCTATAAAATTACGGATTTTACAGATATATTTCTGTTTCAAGGCACCTACCAAATTATCAGACCGTCAAATCATGTTACTGGTACTTTAAAACTAGGTTAATTACTTTTTTTTATTTCAACAAAGATATTGGTACAAAGAGGTACCAAATACATAGGCGCCACACAAATCTCATTCGATATGTGTAAGGGCTGTGATACTGCCCGGGTACCCAAACCGAAGCAGGTGGTTTTCTTAGGAGGCCACTCCCCGAGCCTTCGACCTAAAGGTCTGATCCACAAGGCAGTGGAGCATCGTAAGGAGATGCAGTCCCATGGTAGCCGGTGACCAACAATTGGTTCATACGCCATTTGTTCCCACAGGATACTGGAGCCCATGTGCACCATTGATTTGGGATCCGGTTAATGCGCCGGACATTCGCTTTTCGTCCTCTCATTTTTGTAAACAACACCCCCGCCACGAGAAGGCAGTTAGTAGGACTTCCCTGGCAGAGGCTATATACACGTGGCCATGTGAGAGCATTTCGAGAGGGAGAGCGGACTCTCCTCACTCTCGGCCATACCAGGGCATTTGGGGGCCCTACACCATAAAACATCGCTCGTCGGGGTAGTCGGTGGTTGGGCATACGTAACACATGTCCCAGCCATCCCAACTGATGAAGTTTCACTACTTCATCAATTGATTTGCCATCCTTACCTAGTACCCGTTTCCTAACAACTGCATTACTTACTTACTCGATGGTCCCAGGATATACGAGCAATATTTCGAAGACACCTATGATCAAATACTAGTAACCTACGAATATCCTCCACTCTTACCGGCCATGTTTCACTGCCATAAAGTAGGACGAAAAGAACTGCTGCGCAGTGAACACGTCCTTTGATTGATAGACGGATATTTCGCCTACGCCATAAATGACGCAAGTTGGCAAAAACTAGTCGAGCCTTCTGTATCCGTGCTGAGATTTCGTCACACACCAGACCACAAGGGCTGATGAGACTTCCAAGATAAGTAAAGCGGTCGACACACTCAACTACTTCACTCCCTATAATTAGTTCGGGTGTCGATACAACCCAATTCTGAAGCAACATTTAACATTTCGGTGGGGAGGATCTCATCCCGAACATGCTTGCATTGTTGCTTAGAGTGGTCAGAAGACTCTGCATTTTGTCAGCGTCTTCATTAAATAGAACTATGTCATCGGCATATTCTATGTCAAAAAGTGAATCTTCCGGTAGAAGTTCAACCCCTGGAAATTTAGATGAGGAAAGTGTTATCTCCAAAAGCACGTAAACAACAGAGTTAAACAAGAATGGAGAGAGTGGACAGCCCTGACGAACACCACTTGAGGTAATCAATTCTGATGACAGTTCGCCATAAGCTCTCACTCTACCAGTTGTGTTCGAGTAGAGAGCCTTTATAAGGTTAATGTGCTTCTTTCTCTAATCTGTTCTTCACGAGCTTTGGTTAGGCGTCGAAGTATTATTGAAGCTAATATTTTAGACACTATATTTGTCAAACTGATTCCTCTGTGATTGTCACAAGAGGAGTTTTGTCCTTTCTTATGGACTGGCACAATCAGTGATTGAGACCAGTCAGATGGGATTACGTCCAGTTCCCAAATTCTACCTAATACCTCAGTTAATCTCACTACCAATACTGAACCATCATCCTTAAAAATCTCAGGAGTAAACCTGTCAGGGCCTGCTGCTCTCCCTCGCTTCAGATTTTCAACTTCGTAAAGAGACGGAGGACCTACATTAACTTGCCATTCAGGTTGACTGGAGATCGTGGGAAACCGAAGTGTGGCTGTAGATCAGTTGAACTGATCCCTAAAGTGTTCTGCCCATCGATCCAATCTCCTGGATTGAGAATGTATAATATGTCCATCTTTCTCTGAGAGTGTTTCGCTAACAGTCGGTTTCCTAATACCGGTTTCCTTAACAAGTCTGAACAATTGTCTACTATTACCTATTGCCGCTGCCTTTTCTATCTCTCTTGCTTTCGCTACCCACCACTGTTCACGATCATTGCTTAGACTTCTTGTCAGCTTGCACTTAAGCAGACTCCGCTCTTCGTTGTGTTCAGAGCCAGGTGGAATGAGTTTCCGAGCATCTATCAGTGCGATAGATGCTGCTGAGATCCAGTGGTTCTCCCTATCGAGCCCCTCCATCGGTGGCTGATAGCAATGTGATCTATTTGGGTCCAACATTGGGACGAATTTGGGGTAGCCATGTTAAAAGATGTTTTTGCTTATGCTCAAAGTTAGTATTTGCAAGGAACAGGCAATTATCTGAGCATAGCTGCAACAGACGGTCGCCATTATCTGTTCTTTGAGCCACGACACTATAAGATCCACTCAGGTGTCTTTCCCTTAGCATTAAAGTCACCAGCCACCATTACTACATCAGAGCACCTAGTGTTAGCGGGACATAGACTAGATTAAAGCATGCTCAATGCATGATTGCTTTGGTGCACGCTGATTGGCTAATTCTTATCCAATCAGCACTAGCCGATAGTTGGAGAACACTCTGGAATCTTCTTATGTAAAAACTATAAATATACTGACGTTTTCCCTATTGTGCTTCTGACTTGCTATTTGGAATATAATCTCTTTCCTGTTCAACCGTGTTCTGATTTGGGGACTTGTCGAGTGAATCGGTGTCCGAGAATACTAAGCAATAGGAATAGCTGGGTCATAACCGTAAGAAAGAGAGTTTATAACAGTGGCGACGGGGAAAAACTAAAGAAAAATGGCGATTTCTTTAGAACAGTTGCGGTTAATATTACAGCACCAGCAGAAGTTGTTAGCCTTGCAACAACAACTATTGAGCACACTTTTCACTCGACCAGAAAATAAGAAATCTGTTTATGATGCAGTAACAGACATTTCAGAAGCATATCCAGTGGAGGGTTCAAATCCCTTTATACCTGAATCAGAACGTAATATTTGTAACGTGTCCGGCTCACAGCAAGAAAATACTGTGCTGAATGCTCATAAAGTTGTGGCAATACGAGATGATCAAGAGCCAGACCCTGTAGATGAAGCCCGGAGTCCAGAATTGAAGGAAACACTACTGGTCCTGTCTAGCTCTGAAAATAAATTTCAGCTAGAACAAAATTATGGTCCACGTGATATTAGCCGAAAAAGCTATGGGGACTCGTATTCAGAAAATAACTGCAGTGACACGATGAACCCAATTATACCGAATGTTACTCAAAATCATTGTGAGACAGAAATTTATACTGAATCAGCTTATCCGATTTCTAATGACAATGTATCAGATATGGGTTCTCAGAATAATGAAATTTCTTATAAAAATGAGGAAGATATGTCGGCTGAGTCAAATTATGGTCAGAAGTCTAAATTAATTTTGTTAGATGTTGATTTTCGTAATGATCCATTATCCACTGATGAAATTTCTAATGCATTTGAAAGTAATGCTTCAGAAGAATTAAACTCTGACCTCAAATCAAAGGTCGTTCATTATCATCTAGTCATTTCTAGTGGATCCGACATTCAATGCAAGAAACATCGTTTAAATAAAGTCCTATTATTTGTAACTTGGAGATATAAGGATCCGACATTGTTTCGCGGAGGAGGAGAATGTTGGAGAATTAAAAGTTATGCATACTTTTATTTTTAAAAAAAATCAAAACGCCGGGAACAGACATGTCAGTATCTGTGCAAGAAAAAAAGTGATAATTCTGTATTGCCTAGACGATGAACTAATCGAAAGCACAAGCCAGTCACTCAGTTGCAGTTGGACCCTAGCACCAGATCCTACGAATCTGCTCAAAGGGGAGGTGTTAGCGGGACATAGACTAGATTAAAGCATGCTCAATGCATGATTGCTTTGGTGCACGCTGATTGGCTAATTCTTATCCAATCAGCACTAGCCGATAGTTGGAGAACACTCTGGAATCTTCTTATGTAAAAACTATAAATATACTGACGTTTTCCCTATTGTGCTTCTGACTTGCTTCTGACTTGCTATTTGGAATATAATCTCTTTCCTGTTCAACCGTGTTCTGATTTGGGGTCTTGTCGAGTGAATCGGTGTCCGAGAATACTAAGCAATAGGAATAGCTGGGTCATAACCGTAAGAAGAAAGAGATTATAACACCTAGCTTTTCGGAGGTCGGAAAGTTTTCTGTAAAACTCATCTTTTACATCATCTGAGCTGCAGTCAGTGGGAGAATAGGCAGAGACGACGAAGAGGCAACGACGAGTGTCCCTATCTTTCCGAGTCCTTATTGTTCCGTTTAGTTGGACAGCGCACAAACGACTGTCTACTGGGATCCAGTCTAGGAGAGTTAGTTCTGCCCTAGGACTCAATGCTATACCTACGCCGGCGAGGTCACGAGAAGCAGGATCAGGGCTTCCAGATACACGAAGTGTGGAGTTGGTTCTTTACTTTGATATGGTGGGGTAAAATTAATGACGCTACTCGGATTCTGTATGCGCGCTTCGGAGACGCAGCACACATCGATGGCGCGAGATTCTAAAGTCCTAGCTAAGGAAGCCTGTTGTCCTATTTAGCACAGTGTTCGGACGTCATAAGCTCCAACATGAAGTGTAGAGCGTGGTTTCAGGAGACCAGGAATAACGTTCCGCGTACTCGAATCGTTTGCCCTAGCGGTGCAAGGTGATAAAGGGACGTGAAAAGGGTTAGTCAGGGAGATAAAAGAGGTATTAGGTGTAGGGAGGATTCGAATGTGACCAACTTGGTTTCGTGTTCTGTTACGGGTATGAGGGCTGATGTCACTTCCCGGCTGCCCACACCGTGGAAGGGTATTTCTTGAGGAACCTGAAAAGGAAGTTGGATTAATGTTGGCCTTAACGACCTGGGAGTGTGACCACAGAGCCCAAGGGACAACTGCTTGAGGCCGGTCTCGCACGGCTTTTTTGTGGGAGGTTTTTGACGTGTTAGCTCCGTTCTTCAAAGGGCCTTACCGTCGGAGACAGAAATCCGTGAGGTAAGGTGAGGTGTGATATTTTTAGGGTCGAACTTTTCTAACCCCTTCCTTCCTTGTGAGAAGGCAGCATAGCTGCAGATGCTGGTTGTCCGAGGGAAACGACTTACTGCTATCACTCCCTTACAGTCAGCAGTACGACTTCGCCCTCAGACCTTGAGTTGCTGCTTTTAGTCTTACCGTTCTCCAATCGACCTGCCTGGCATGGTAGAACCTGCAGGAACATATGTTCCAGCCAATATAGCTCGGTTGGGTCATCACGATAGGCAAGCCCGACCACCGCTTCAAGGTAGCAGCTTCGGTCGGGTATTCAAACGGAAATACATTTTAATGACTAATGTATGTTCCGATATTCCTTTGCTGTTCAACTTTTTTTTTATGAACTCATGCAAGAAATCTTTTAAGACAACTTTGGAGAGCCAGTACTATGTAAATGGGATCTTAGTGTGTTAAACCGAAAGACTCTCAAGCCAGAAGTCTTCACGATGGTTTTCCCAATCAGCTCATAACATTTAATGTTGTGTTCTGTTAGTTGTGGATGAATTAATTATTTCATGTGTTTTAATCTCATGCAGACTGTTATCTGAAAAGTATGAAATGCCGGTTCCACGTTCCATCTTCATGTCATCTGAACGTCAAGCAAAGTGTCGTACACTATTCAATGACTATCTAGCTGGAGCGATGCATCGTTTACAAAATATGGTCAAAGAAACCCAACGAATCATCTCAGGAAACAGGGACCAACTCGAAAGTCGTGGTGAAGTTAGCGAAGAGAGGCAAGAGCGGGCGGAGCATTTAATGTCAGCCTGTCGTAAATTTCATGAGTCCTTAAGTACTTTAGCTGATCTTTTGGACGCAGATCCACCACTTGATTTTTCATCTATGATAAAAGGCAAGTTTGGTTTCATTGTGTATATATGAGACAACTCATAACACCGGATACCAAATACAAATGATTCGTGTATATCAACCAAAAAAATACCTTCAAAATATTACTTGGGTGTTGTGCAACTAATAAGTAAGCATTGCTGGTATTAAAAGATGAGTGTCGGATAGACACTGTAAATTAGTTAATAAGGTTATGAAACTTCATCCACTGATGTCGTTCACGTACGAGTCACTCATTTCCTTTCATCGTCTGTTCCCAGTTGGTTATACTGGCTAGTGTAGAAGCAGGCTAATAAAAAACAAAAGGTTAACAGATTGAAAAATAATACCGGTTAATGAAAACGGTGATTGTTAGTATGTAACACAGTGGAGTTGCAGTCTTCGTAATGTGATCTCACTTGATAACCAAATGTAGTGGTTATAAATTAGGTAATATGGTTAAGCGCAGGTGCCAGTGGCACTGATACATTCATTCTGTATTTTTTTGTTTCTGAAATATTCTATTATTTCTTGCCTTTTATTATTGAGTTCATTCATTTCAGTTGATTATTCTTTTCAATTTAGCCATATGTGAATTGTAAAGAAAAGATATGGTTGTTTAATTAGTATGAAGTATTATCAACTTGTTTCACATAAATAAACAACACTTAGGGGTTTGTATAGGATTGAGATATAGTTATCCGGTCATGTAACTTGGTTGATTGATCGCTGAAGTTGTAATGTAGCGCAGTAGTTAATGGAACCAACTCACAAGTTCAGGTTCCAGTTCATCTTTATTGACTTAAATGGCTTGATAGTTAAGTTCCGTTCAAAGACTTGTACCTGGGTCAGTATATGAATGCTAAATTTTGAATTAATCTGGTTATTATTGGTCCGAGTTCAACTCTATCGTAGGTTTCCTTTGAACTTCAGTTCTAAAAATAACAAAAATAGTGGGTTTCATAACCCATGCCATATAAGACGGTGTAATTGTTAGTTGAAATACAAGCGAGAAAGGCTTGACTTAAACACCAAATAAGCCTACGATAAAGGGGCTCTAAGTAGACCACGCTTTCGAAGAATGTTACTAAGAGATTTATTTTGTATTTAGGTGCTCATTAACTACATATAATGGTATGGTAAATTTAGTTTCCTTCATTTGACTTTTTGTATTACTCATTTATCCAGACAATTGACGATAGGTAAATTGACCATATTAGTTTAATTTTTTATTGCTTAACATATTATACAACTCAAATTAAATAACATCTTTGTCGTTTATAGATGAATCTATGTCAGACTTGACCGCACCTGATTCAGTCGAAGTAAGTGATAAATCTATTAATCACCAAATTTAAAATTGCAGAAAGTTGTTCACGAAGAGGTTAATCTGTTTGAAGATGAAGATACACGTTTATTTTACGAAAGTCTACCTGATATCAAAGCAATGGTACCTGCGGTTAGTTACCTGTTGTTAACTTTTTGTACTGTTTTTACTGCTTTGTATTTTGTATTGTAATTATCTACATCTAGGTAACCTTTAATCCTGTTACTCGGATATGGTCTAGTGAGTATTTGATTTATTCGTTTACAAGTGATACTTGGCTAGCCTTAACACATGTTTTTAAAAATCCATTTTATTACTCTACTGAAAACGTCGATTAAATATGGAATATTGTACCTCATAGTTTCAACTAGGAAAAATGTTATGAGTTTACTGTTTGCCTCAATGTGTGCAAACGGTCTTTTAGTGTTGCCAAAGCAATCAACTTCCAAATCATTGTCTTCATGATTGTTTTTGTGATGTATTTTTTCTAGAAAGTTTTGCTTAGTCACCTGTGAGACATTTCTGTTCCATTAGTTACATAACAATAGTCAGTTTCTGAGTGGGACTTTTTGTATGAAAATTATCCACAAAATAATTGTATGTTTGTTTCCTGTTTTTGCTTTATTACCGGTACCAGTATATATCTATCATGTGTACTTTATTTCCTAATAGATCCTTTATAAAGAAAGTGAACAAGCTGGTGTAGAATCAAATCAGTCAAAGAATGAGGATGGAGATCCTGCCGGAAGTGAAGGTAAGATTTACTTTCATCCAACATTTTCATAAGTTCCTCATAATATTTTATGGATGTATTTTTGGGTTAAGTGAATTTTATTTGTCAATGTTGATGCTATATAAAATGCATTTAGTTGCCTTTTTTGTTGGGTATTTATGATTCATATTTAGCAAAATTACAGCACTATTCAACGAACATACCTGATTCATAAAAAATATACCGGTTTGTGCTTTCTATGGTTTCCAATCTTACTCTTGGCTTCGGTAATCAAGCACAAAATATAAGGTATACATGTCATGAATTCAACTCTTGTTTCATCATCATACTGAGCGACAATTCGTTATACACGACCTCGAAATCAAATACTTGAAAAAATCGTCTTGATTTGTTTATTAGTAATATTCTAAATCATTCACTAAGTACAGATTTACATGCGTCTTCTTGAGCCATAGTTTAATGACGGCTAGTAAGGGCAGGATTTAGATTACAACATCGATTAAAAGCCAAGTGGTTCGGTCACTAAGTGACCCCCTCCCAATAGATTCGTTTACTCGTACTTCATATTAAGATATATATATATATATATATATATATATATATATATACTATGTAGTATTAACTAATATTTACTTACTGTCTTATTTTCAAGTAGTATTGATTTAGTTTTTATCTTATAATGCCGTGGTCGACATATAATTTGGTTTTTGTTTAGGGTATGACGTGCACACATTCAAGCAACTCACCTGCACTAGAACTCTTCACCCACTGCATTTTCATTAAAGTCCTCATCTGAACAAATGATCAATGGTGTGGTATTTATGTTCTTTGCGCTTAACTAGAATCCATACCAAAGGTCAGGTATACTCGTTATTTTACTATTTCTTTAGTCGTTAACTCCTATCCTGACTAAGAAAGCTGTGAAATAAAAATAAATATAAATCGATAAAAGATAACTTTACTTATTTTACTAATGTAGGAACACAGGTATTTGATTACTTACTTTGAAGTAATATACTCATGTGTTGGAGTTGGGTTGTAAACATTGAAAATATTCGAATCTAGGAAGTCGTCATTATAAACCAATAAAAATAGTCAAAGCTGTATGTATATATATCCAGTCAATATCCTTCATATCCCATGTTAGTTTGAAATATTAATGTCCACATACCTCAATGTATTTCGCAATTAACATGAGACCAGTTTACGAAGTTTTTGAATGTTAGTCTAAACTGTGCATTACAAAATGTAAGGTAGTTGATCTTAATGATTTATGACCAGTTAATTGACTTAAAACGCAATACCTATGAAAAGGGATTATGCGAATCCAGATGTTTCTTCGGGATTTGTTAACAAGTATTGTTACCAGTTACAACTATCAATTCAATAGTCTATGTATGTCAAATTTTAAAAGGATTCTTGTTGGCCCTTAACATTTTTGTGTTCATTAGCTCTGTTCATTTGACCAACTGAATTTTGTCATAATTGTCTTGCTGTGAACATTTTGATGTTATATTGCAATTTTCTCTTCATTCATTGTAGATATTGATATTGACACCGTTGAATCAGAATTAGCTAAAGAAGAAGCATTAATTCGAGTATCAGAAGATGGTAATGAATCAACTAATTGCACATCTATACCTGATAAATCAAAACCATATCTGTTAAATACTGATGATGGTATGTTTTTTTCACAATGTTTGTATGCAGTGATTATTTGCTGTTTTATGTTGTAAAGGTTCATGATAGAATTTGAAGATGTGATGTACTAAGTCTTTTATACATAATCTCGAGATTTTTAGTGCAACTTGTTCGAACTATGATATACAGTACTTCTAGGAATGTTTCTGTTTTACATACTCACTGAATCCTAGTATTTCATGCTTTGGAGTTTAGAACTGGTTTAATGCTGCCGCGTGTAAACTACTTTATGATCATACGATCCTGATAATTACATTGACATATCGTTGTGTCTACTGTGAAACTCGAAAATTCGTTTTTTGATTTCATAGCGATGTAATTTAGCAACTCAGAATTACGTTTACCCAATTCTCAGATATACAAGTCTAACTTCTTACAATAAACTCCCCTGTTCTGCTTTATAAATTAATGATAACTTTGGTAACCAACAGTAGTTATTGCTCGTAACATTTGTGTTTTTCACTTTATGGGGATAACTTCTGTCATTATTCGTACGTTTGTTTCAATGTTTTTCATGTCGTTAGGTGAAGAAGATCTAAATCCTTCGGGGAAAGTTCTCATGGAAACGTTTTTAACCCAATTACCAAACTGCATTAATCGGGATCTCATCGATCGAGTAAGTAAATATTATGTCTGAAAACTTGCACTAAACCTCTCTGAATTTCGGCATCAGAATTTGTTTCGGTATATTTGATTGGTTTTATGAGGGATTCAGAAAAAACATATACTTTATTTCTCTCTGGTAGACAAACACTAAACCACGTTATTATCAGTTTGTCTTTAGTATCACTAATTTTCACTGAAAATCCACAGAATATGTTTTCCACAGTTTAAAAGTCTCAGATATTAGGTCTATTTTCACCCATAAATCGAAAGACTGTAGTTTTATGACAGTATTAATTGAAGTGATTAGTATTCTTATTATTATCTTACAATGTATTTATTCCTGACTTTCGACTAGTATCGGGAACTGCAAACGTTCAACAACAGCCATCTTTCGTTAAAAGTGTTAGTAAATCACAGCAGATTAAAAATACTCTTTGCTTTTGTGACTTGGTAACAGTTGTCATTGGATCTACATGTGTTACTTTTTCTGGAAGAAATCTCGTACAATATATTTTAGGAATTTCGGTAAAACAAACAAGTTCATGTGAATATCGAATAATTCGTTTTATGGTGTTACCTCTTTAGCCGTATACAAGTAAGGGTAATTTCTAAATAAAAAGGATCGGATAATTTGTAATATTACTAAAATAGTCAATTGGCAAAATTTGTCTGGGTTTACAAATTTTCTTCAAGGGATTGGAATAGTACTTCTAAAAACTCAAAATATAAAAGACAATGTTTGGACTGCAAGGTTTAATTCACTTATAGTCATACTAAATTAAAATATGTATGTATGTTGTGTCTTTACATGTGTTCTCTTTACTTTAAATTCAGTAGTTCCTCAGAATTGCTAATGTTAGCGGATATAGAACACGGTAGATCACATAAGGGAAGTATGTATTTTTGTATGATCTTGACAATTCTTACCAAGGTAATGGCTTTAAATATTATGCGTCCCATTTAAAAAGTGGCATTTTACTTTGATGTTAATCTAAGGAAATGACTTAATTTCCAGTTACATTGTAAAAAAATGTGTTAAGAATATCGCAGCTACTTGATTAAATGATGGATTCTTTGTTTTTAAATGAAGTAAACACTACCTTTTTAATTTCCATCTCAGGCAGCTATCGACTTTTGTTTGAATTTAAATAAACGAGCAAATCGTCGACGGCTTGCTAAAGCTTTATTTAGTGTTCCAAGAACGCGTTATGATTTATTACCATTTTATGCGCGCCTTGTGGCTTCATTAGCCCCAGTGATGCCTGACTTGGCACAAGATATCAATTCTATGCTTACTGCAGAATTCCGTTGGCGTCTATCTAAACGAGATCAATTAAATATCGAATCCAAATTGAAAGTGGTTCGATTTATTGGTGAGTTTACATAATATTTTCGTAACTTGGTAATGTATACTTGGTGATTTTATACTACTTTGACTATAATGACATCAGATTTGTGATCGGTCTAACTATGAGTTTTAAAATGTTACAGGTTAGTTTCATACCCTTAGGTTTAATTGTGGTTAGCGACTTTGCGCAATATGGCTCAAAATTGTTCACAATAGCCCAAATGCATTCACCTTTTATCTTCCTCTCGATCCTAAATTCCAGTATTCCTTCATGTATATCTACGCACTCTGTGTTTTAAAATCATATTCTTAAGGCACAGTCTTTCTTTATATCATTGACACTATATTATTTCGATTTCTTGTTATTTTCATCTCGTCATGCTAATCAATTTTATTAGCTTGCCCCAAAGCATATGTGAAACTCTGTTGATGATGTCTGTACATGTTTAAATACCGTTATTACCTTATAGACTAAACTTAGCAGCCACTATGCATTTATCACGCTTTCAGTTATTTTATACATACTAAATTAGGCCATTTCTTCGGTAGATTTGTGTTTCAAGGTTTATGACTACATTTTCTGTGATTTCGATTATAGGCGTTGTTTAGTTATTAATGTCTATTCATGCTTCCAAATAAAGTTGTTTATAAACTCGAGAGTGTTTCCCTCTGATTATTTTTATTTTTAGGGGAACTTGTCAAATTTAAGATTTATCCAGCTCATCAAGCTTTAACTTGTTTAAAACAACTTCTTCCTCAATTCGTACACCATAACATCGATATGGCCTGTGCTTTATTGGATACTTGTGGGCGTTTTCTTTATCGTTTACCTATATCACATAAACGTACAAAAGTTTATTTGGAAATAATGCTTAGAAAAAAAGTTGCTTTACATATGGATCAGCGTTATTCTATTATGATTGAAAATACATATTACTATTGTAATCCACCACCGTCCAATCGCCAGGTATCTTATGATTCATAAATATGATATACAACACTAACAGTACATTATTAACTTTCATATTGTACTATTTTTTTACTTATGTTTTGTTTTTATAGCTCATATTGATTGTTCGGTTGGTATGATTTACCCTGTAAATATTTTGAGTTTATCGTATATGAATCAAAAAGCATACACAAAACTTGGTAATAAATGCTGAGTTATAGTAATAATTTAAATTATTTATTCATTAATAAGGCGGTCAGTAATCACATAAATTGTTAGAGAATTCTAATGAAGCCTCATTTACTAACTTTGCATAGCATAGTGTCTAAATGTTTTAACGATAGCAGTGTCAAATATACATTCAAAAACGAATTGGAAAGTGAAATTTTTTAATTATAAATACCTTTTAGTTTGTGTAATTAGTACTCGGAGTTATTTGTACTACTTCATTTCATTGTATAAATAAGTAAATCAGATGTCCAGTAGATTTGTAGTCCATATTATATATATATGTATAATCATTAATTCGTCTATCTTTCTCCTTCTAAATTGTATAGATTGTCGAACCTGTGAAGTTGACACCTCAAATGATGTTTATACGTCATATTTTGCTAACGAAATTGGACCGAACTACCGTTAATACTACTTTACGGCTAATTCGAAAAATGGATTGGGATGATCAAGAAGTAAGTGTAGACGTTTTACTGTCACGATTTTACAAATTTCATCGCTTTCTGTGTTCAGATTAATAACTTTAAAATAGTGGGTAATTATTGAGCTCATTGTACAATAATTTATAAGTCGTCTTAATGTGTACCTGATTTGACAATAATCAACATGTCACAAAAAGATTGTTGATCTTCAGTTAAAAAAACTTATTCCAAGATGAAGACATCACAGTTTTGGGTATGATTTACGAATGTAAACATCGAGTTTTCATTCACTAACTGTTAAGTGTGAGTCATATTCCACTTCAGTCAAGCTAACCGGTTACTGCAATCAGTCCTGACGACAAGTCTCTTAGAAAACCATTTGAAGACTCCGCACTTGGTTACTAAGTCTAAATAGTTTTCTGACTTCATACTATGCAACATTTTTTCCTGATTACAGTTCCATGTTATCATGACTATACCTTAGTGGTCCACCGATCTACTGTCTCTTGCTTTTTCCAGTCAAGTCGTATCACTAATTTTCACTCAACAGATATAAATAAATAGTCCATAATTGTTGGCATGGCGTTTTAAGTGCTTCGTTAATAGGTCTTAGTTAGCTGAGTTTTATTGTTATTGAGTTTCCATTTAGGTATTTTCTCTCGTTCCAATGTGATTTTCCTGAAAACTGTTAAATGATGTACCATTTATCGAAAAAAATACTCTCAACACATATCTGATTCATTCTTGTGGCTATTTTGTCTTTCGATAGCTTGTCGAATTTACGTGCACCCTTTTCACTAGGGCGTGGGATGTTCGCTATACGAATATAAATTGTCTAGCCAGTGTGTTATCTGGGTTGGCTACCTATCATTCGGACTTTGCCATGGCTGTTGTCGACAATGTCATCGAAGATATCCGTGTGGGAATGGAGGTTAGTCAAAGGCTTTTTTACGAAAATGAACATTCTGGTCTAATAATTTTCTTTCTATCACTGGCTTAAATGCATCTCATAAACTACCGAAGACTGGCGGCCAATTGTAAATGTTAGCGAGTTCTAAGTTTTCAACTATATACAAAAAGATGTAAATTAAATGAATCATTTATGGTACACATCGATCAGTATCCAAAACGTCCTACCCGCCTAAAGTGTACTGGATATAGAAGTATTCAAATTCCTTACTCGTTTGATAAAAATAAAATACATGTACGCCTCACCTGAGTGACAGTAATTTCTCTATTGCTGTCTCTGGTGTCTTAATCGTTACGTTATTTTATGACACTTTTCTGTCAAAATAGTCATCTGTATATTCTTTTGGGTGTTTTTTTTTATTACAAAAGTCTTTTTAGTGCTCGTGAGTTTGTCGATTTAAGAACTGTTTAAAGCAAGTGAACAGAGTGTCATGCGTAACTTTCTCTGTCATGTCATTGTACTCGGTTAAGTAACTGTTGTAATCACTATGGTTTCATTTTCACTTCTGATCAATTTAATGACCTTAAAATTTGTATTTAGTTGTACATATTCACCATCAGAATATATGGTAGTTTACCTTATTTCAGGCTCGGAAAGCTGTATATGATTTCACTTCTATTTGCTTTTCAGCTCAACCTTCCCAGTTTAAATCAGCGTCGAATTGTAATGGTCAAATACCTTGGTTTGTTGTATAACTATTGTCTGGTGGATTCTCCGGTGATATTCAAAACACTTTACTCTCTTCTCACATTTGGTGTTAGCTTGGATCGTAAGTTACCAATGAAAATATGTGTACATGATTAATATTTCTTGTCAGTAGTTGAAGGACGATTAGTGAATAAATTATTCAGTTGTAGAGTAATCAAGTGGAAACTTTTCTCAGCGTACATTTCCCTCAAAAGGAACGACTGTTCTATACATATTTGCTTCATTGGTAGCCCGCCAAGATCTCTGATAAAATACGTAGTATATATATATATATATATATATATATATATATATATCAATTGTCACTTGCATGGTTATATATGGTTGTTTTGAGTGTGCTGCTCGTATTTCAAATAATACATCACATTTCTTCGTGAAACAATTTTCCCTTCATTTTTATAGTTGATTTCCCAAGTATTATCGACCCGCCGGATTCATTGTTTCGAATTACATTAATTTGCACGCTACTTGAAACATCTGGAAGTTTCTTCGATCAGGGTAAAAAGCGACGAAAATTGAACATATTCCTTATATACTTTCAGGTAATTATAATGTTGTTGTTTATTCTCAAAGAAAATAAAAAAATAATTTACTAGACAAGAAATTTTAATACGTATGCTTCCTAAGGCGTTTATTATAAGAAATTGATCAATACGTATTGAGTAGATATAAATCCTTTTTGTATGTTTGTATTGAGGATTTCCACAAATAAATTCCCTATTAATAATTTATTCATTTTTAACAGGATAGCGTTGTGAAGATTTATTGAGTCTCATTAAAATCATGAATCGATCAATGTTAGACAATCATTGTAAACCTGGAAATACTGTACGTAGTTTTAGTAGTTCGTAAGCCGTCTTAGTTTACTGATAACGCAACGTGTGTTCGAATACAGAGACAATAATTCATTTAACGTCTCTATCTGGACACACCGGCTTCGGTGGCTTGAACATGAACTACAAATATTGTCCCATCGAATTTCACATCGTACATTATTTGTCAACTCTGGGACTACTTGGAAGAAACAGGTGGTCAGTCTGTGGCATAATCTCGTTATATGAAAGAAAGCTGTACAGTACTAGTGTTTGTCGGTCACTCGCGGTCCCGTGGTTAATTTTCTAGAGATAAATCAACAAAATGACTTCAGACGTCATCAGGATAGAAGGTAATGGTGGTTGTATTGTAATTTTCTCATAAAAGTGAGAGAGACTAACTGAAAGAATTCTTTCTGGTTGTAGTTTTCTTGACTGAATGGCTTTTTTCATTATCTTTACCTTCACTTGTTTTTATTCACTTTCTGTTTTTCTAATTATACTCACTTTCCTTTCTCTGTCTCGTCACAATCTCATTTCCTTATTGTATGGGGCATATTTGTTTTGGTGCTTCTTAGTACCAACATATGTATTTGGATGAACAAATAAATAAGCGCCATCTTAAATATTTTATATAAAAATAATATATTCTTAAGACCAGTAGCTTCAGTTGATTATTTAACACAAATTCGTATCATAAATTTATTATGATGAGTTCAATTATGAATAAAGTTCGCGCTACTCAAGTTAAAAGTAATATAACATTCGTTTACAGATTTTCAGATTTACTTTTAAAGTGTATACTATAAGTATATTTTCATGCATTGAACATTGTTGAAACCACTCAGTTCGTTGACTACTTGAAATACGTGAAAGCTGTGAAATTAATAAGAATACAATATTTTATATGAGGTTTGTATTACAAAAACGTATTCGTTGATTCAGTCATTTTTCTGAAATTCTCAAGTTTTTAATGCACTTTCTCAATATCGTCATTAATATATGTGTTGTGGATGTTTCAAATAAAATCAAATTACTATCTCACTGTTGTTGACCAATTTTATTTTATACGTTTAACTGACACTTTTGGTACTGTTGATCGTTGACACGAGAATTACATATCCATACCTGTCTCACTGGTTATATTTTTCGGAAGTTGACAGTTTAACAAAAAAAGCTACGATTTGCTCTCGTGTCTATTGCGTTATTAAACTGGCAATTTCATTGTTGACTAATTTCTTCGATTGGTTAGGATTTTAAGCAAAGACTAAAGCGAATAGATGCTGCAAGTAGGTGAATAGGATTCACTTGGGATTATTGTCCTTGTTTTACAAATATGGTTGGACCCTATGTATCTCCTGGTCAGTTTTTCATCGTCTAAAAAATTTTTTTTCAGAATAATTAGCGTGTTATGTATGATTTTTTCCACCAACGTTTGTTATTCTAGCGTTACTACTGGTTCAAGCGTTCTCTTCCTATATGGGTGCAGTCGAAAAACGACGCCGAGTTATTATCAGCCAAATCAGTAAGTGAAACGAAGACAGATCTCCATACTGGCGAACTGACGTCTTCGGTTGAAGAGCCTGCTGTAAATCATTCTGAAGATTCATTGGTATTAAATAATCCTGAATCATCAGTTGATATCTCTGGTCTTAATTCAGATACCCAAACTAATCTACCTATGTTTGTTCCTGTGCGTTTTCCTGTTGCAGTAGAGCAACAATATTTTGAAACTTTACAACAGTTCCGTGGTAATGTTGGTCGAGCAAAAAATTTCACAGAAGCACAACGTCTCGTTCGTCATCTGGAGGCCCGATGCCTGCCACGCCTTGCACGCCTTAAGGCTACATATGGACTAACAAGTGAATCAGAAAACGTGGAAAATGGTGGTCAAGACGTAAAAATTATTTCAGAGAACAAATCACTTCGACCAACTGGTCCTGGTCACATGGATACGATAGCTGAAGAGGCTGAACAAGAAGATGGTAAGGTTTTCTAACATTTGAAGTAATTGCACTAATTCCACCGCTTTCATGAAGAGTCATTAAGTACATTTAAATTCCCATAATTATCATGACCACAGTTTACAATCAAGTAATCAGGAATACATCGTGTGTGAATGACCCAATTTCTGTTACACAAACTAATTAATCTAGAAAGCAAGAATGTTATTTGTATGATAACGTTTTAAAGATTAGCGATTATTTTTATTGTAAATTAAGGCGTCTTATTCTGAAGTAAACAACTGTGAGATGTTTTAGTCAATTAAAAACATGTGGTTATGTAATTCAAATTTTCCACTCAGTGAAAAAATAGCAGAAGGTAATTATAGTAAAATTCAATCTTTGGAATCTAAATTGGTTAATTTATAAGTCTTGTTAACAACTAAATTAACGTATTAGTTCGATTTTGAGACTCTGGTGTATTTTATCCAACTAGCCTCGGCTTCTAATCATATTAATTTCTCTTGATGTAATATTGATCAGTATGTATTGAGATATTGGTTTCCATAATTACCGGGTACGTAACTAAATCACTAAAGAAAGAAAAACCTAAAAGCCTAAACACAATTCAGACATGGATATCGATCGAATTTCAATCTTTCTTGGTATACTGAGAAACACTAGTATTCCGTTTTAGCCATATTCCTTTATCTGAAAATATTGTTGGACCCAACGTGATCAAAGTTCTTATGCGAGTGTCTTCATGTACGATAAATGGTTGTAGTGTTTCTTCAGCGTAAAGTTAATTATATAGACATAAGAGTTCATTCACTCAAACCAATTCAGACTGGACTATCCAGAAAATCAATGTCCATGTAATTATTCCCAATCAAACACATGGATAACTATAAACGTCTCAATTATTTGCCGTTCGAGAGCAGTTTATAGTTTTTGTTTAACTTTTTAGGAGACATCCAGCTGGGTGACGATGAGTATTCTATGGATGAAGAAGATTCTGATTTGGATGACGAAGATGAGGAACAAGGAGGTGAGACTCATTCATCTCAACGCCGTCAATCTACTGACTTGATAGAATCGGATGGTAGTCGTCGTCGTGCTCGCGTTGATAGCCAACAATCTCAAGAGGATATTGATCTCACACTGGTAAGTGGCTCGGTTCGTGCATAATATATATTGAAATTCAATGTTTAAAACCGTTATGCGAATAACAGTCTTCGTACATTCATGCACTACGCTAATCATTTCACTACTCCAACTTAAATATTGTGAACGAAACTACCCGTATTCTCTTCTTTTCCCTACCCCACTTACTCAAGTCAAAATTCCAGACTTTGTAAATGAAGCTTTTCTATGTAGGTCCAGTGTAATCAATTCAGAATACAGGTTTGTCGATTATATATCAGTAAGAAAACGATGGTTAAAATATTTCAAACTGAGTATTTGTCACATTAACATAGATCATCGTAAAAATCTGTTGAAATCCCCTTAATAGTGTTCCCACTGAATGATTTAACTGTAACAGAATCTCAATCTAATCGATGTTGGTTTGCTTTTCATAAGTTGTAACTGGTGATAATGCATCCTCAACAAATTTGTAAATTAATTTCGTCTGCATACTTTAATTTATGTATGCTCTCATTAACTCTTGTGAAATATTATCACTAGATGATTTGGCAATTGTTTTTTTTTACTGTATAAAGGAAAAAACAGAAGAAAAGGAAGCAGAGGAAGAGGAGATTGATCAGAACTATGAGTTGAAGCCACGATTTATTGATTGTCCTGAGGATACTGCATTTTGTGAAGCTTTAGATAAAATGATCGCCGAAGCATTATTGTCATCTACATCAGGGAGTAATAGTAGTAGTGTCAGTGGTACAGCTACTAGTGTAACCAGTACTATCAATGTTAGTACTGATACAAATCCTGCATCATCTCGAACTCTCAGTGTGAATGTTCTTCCTGCTCCAGAAATACTACAACTAGCAGCAGCAAAGAGTCGTTTAGCAATGAAAGAAGATGGCAGTTCATCGACAAATAAAGTTAACCAGCAAGTGATTAATCATCATAACTCAACCCTTCATTCTGTGCCGACAAAATCTAATGGAGATAATTTAGAAATTAATCATTCGGATACATTGTCAGCTGTAAATGGTGAAGATAGTCAAGTACGTAACATTTTATACATAAGTGTGTTATCACCTAAAATCATATGTCTAAAATATTTCGTCAATAATTCGCCGAGTTGTGTAGCAAATGTAATCAGTTGAGACTGCAGTGGTCATTAAATATAATTTTAGTGTAATATTATTGTGATCAATTTTAAACTGTTTGAAATTAGCTCTATTTCCGTTACTTTTTAACACTACTTTTTAAGCTGTATGGGTTAAGTGCACTACTTCGAACGAGGATCACTGCATTATGTCTTAAGGCCTGTCGAATATCATGTGACAAGATGGCTAGTCAGAATACCGACTTTTGTGACCGTGTCCCTGTGTTAAACCAGTGATGTGCCAAACAGCACTAGCAGCCATGGTCAACGTTGAATCTTTATTAGTCCTCTGTATAGTATCTTCTGGCCTGGTCCAGCCCGTTGAGTCCTAAACACAAATATCAGCCTCTGTTATATGAATCGTACATTTCAGACATACGTGGTTTTTATACAAGGAGACCAAACCGCGTTACACCATAAAATGGAAAATAATAATTATCACAAACCAATAGTGGTTATAAGTACAGGAGATTGTAACTACTAGATTGGGAATAAGTTGAGAATGGTGAATCGTAGCCAATGGTCAAATGAAAGCTTATGATATATATATATATATATATATATATATATATATATATATATATATATATATATATATATATATATATAATCTGGTTACTTAATAATTATCCAATGAGAATATATGTAATAATAGTCGATAAATGATTCCTATCAATTACCATTCATTTATCCCTCGTTCGGATGTTACAAACTTTAAATTAATTCTGATTAAATTGGAAACAAAACAAATGAAAACTGAAATCTCTTATTCGATCAAAAGGAACGATGAAATATTGCTGACTGATGATAGACGGTTGCTAATATTAGGACGTAGTAATAGCTAAGTACGAAAAAACTGGACAACCGATCACAAACTTAATTTACTGGCCCGTACACGTACATTTTCCACCGTGATAACCATTCAAATTTACTGTCCTCATTTATAAAACTGCTGTTAAGGCAAAATCCATTCAAATCTTTATGCTTAATGATGAAATACCACTCTCACTTAATCTGAAATAGTATCATGCTAAAAAGATACATGAGCGTTTTTATGTATTTCAGAATTGATGTCTTGTCTTGCTTTCTATGTTTACAAACTCTTAATTTCAAACAGGCAATGTTTACGGTAAAAAAAATTTTATTTGTGCCGTCTTAATCCACAGCTAGTTACTTATTATCCCATTCACTTGAGCACTGTTATTGTGTATGGGTAGTTCGCTTGTTCGGTATGTTAGTAATGAAACAGTACCGTTAATCCATTTCGTATTCGAGGCAATTTTAGCAAGTTATTCAGCAAATAGAACTGTTTTATACCTAGTATCTAATTTGTCATCGGTTCCAGTTCTCGTGTATGTGTTTAAAAGCTAACATTGAAATATCCATGTTTTGAAATTCTGTAGTCTTATAATATGGAGATCTTCCCTTAAATGGATTACTTTCTGGTTGACATTAACGATGCTAGGATAATCCATTCTTGCCATACTTACTCTGATGGGTTAATGTGATCAGTATTATAACACAAAGTTTATTATCAAATCTGTTGTACTTTGATTTGTTTCTCTAAGCTTATCACATCGCCCTCACATATGTGATTTTACTGCTGAACATTACACTCGTTAGAGGTTTTGCTAATCACATAACTGTTTTCTACTATTTTAGAATACTGTTCCCTTTACACTAGTTTCGCGTCGTGGAAATAAACCTCATCTAATTCCATTGGCAGTCCCGGATTCAGTACAATTTGCAGCACGTTATATTCAAACTGCAGCTGCCGAGAGAGAAGAAAGGGCTCGGATGAAACAACTAGTACTTGAAATGCATGAAGCTCAAAAAGAAGAAGAAATGGAGTGGGGTTAGTCAGTAATAGCTTATATGGCTCTTTCTAAATTCAAATCTGGAGTTCATGAATTTATTTTTACAGTCGTTTTGTAACCTATTCTCTTGTATAACAGTTTGGTTTCTGAATGTTAAAGTTTATGAGTTCTGCTATATTATTGATAGAAAATTTCAATATTTGACTTTTATTACTAGGTCACTACGGAGGTCCAGATGCTGTTTTGGCTCATCAATTCCCCGTCAATGTGAACCGTGACCGCTGGGTAAAGTATAATCATCCAAAAGGAGCACCGGACGCCGATGTAGTTTTTGGAACACACAGGTAACTTAAATATCCACCACTATATGTCATCATTTTATTCTGCGTGAAGAAATAAATATACTCACCATTTTATAACGCTAGTCTTTTATCTTTGAATTTTTTCTCTAAGAATATTATGAAAAAATTATTACATTTTTCAATGTAGGGATTCACTACTTGTTAACATAATTTCAACTTCTGAAATTTGTTTTAAATGAATCAGTTAGTTTTTTATGTAATTTGGTTGGCTAGTGAATCAGTTTTCATTGTTATCTATCTGGATTTCTGAACTCATCACTCATGAAAGATTCGATGGCTGCCACTTTATTTATTGTTGTATACTCCTTACCGATTTAGACTGAGAAATTTTCGCTACTAGTTACTTTCACTGCATGGCAACACAAAGTGCAGTATACCCGTACGTCCAAATAAGAGAGTGGAATTAAAGGCCGGAATCTTGACACAATAAATCGTGTTTATATAATAACAGATATGGCCTTAGGACATATCATTTAGAATATACAAATGACATTGTTGTACTTAAAAATAGTGATGCTGATGCTAGACAAGAGATAATTATGTTATTTCGACGTCTTTGCTATTTATCTTGTTAGCTTCATCTCGTAGTGTTATTCTGTTATGGCAACTTGTGCCATCACACGTTTATGTTGGACTGTATGTTACGACTGACTGATTTGAAGAATACAGCAAATTAAGAGGAAAACTAGCCAATCAGGTATTAGCAAATTTGGTGAAATATGATTTCGGAATGTTAACGAGAAGTACTTGTTCATTAAAATTACTATGTATTAGTAAGAGTAATAGACAGATAATTTGAGGCATCCTTAGCATACAAGTATGTCAGTGTTTTAAGTTTCTGAAAATTAAGGTATTTTGAAAACTCAGTTTTATAGCTAACTTTAAAAAAAGGTTTTCTGCTCTTAGGATATTATCATTTATTGATGTTTGTTTGTTAATCAAACGCGGTTGTGAATGTGACTCCAGATGCAGAGATGTGTCTCTAAAACGATTAAATAAGAAAACTTTCAGTTTACTCTAGCAATATTTTAAATTAAAAAGATCAAGGACAACATTTTATGACCAGAATAATATGAGCTCATTTTATTTTGCTCAAAATTAACTCAATCTCTTGTATAAGATTGGTAGTATAAATTAGCTCAGTAATCCACGTAAGAATCAACGGTTATATATACAAATTAGTTCCCATGCCGCTTAAAGTTTATTTCATTGATGTTAAATATTTGTCTTCATTCACTCTGTTTTTTCGACAGTCAAAAACGATGTGCCAATTAATGAGCGTATCCTGTTAGAAAGATTTGTTAATCATGGTCATCTGTTTCAAAAAATGAGACAATTTGAAATGGGAGAAGTTATGGATTGTGCGATATTCAACGAATCATTGTATGTGTTGCACAGCATTCTATGGGCATAGCATGTGTGCAAGTATGTTGAGATGCAGTTTTGATGAGTTGAACAGACAAGATGTTTTAAAATGTAATCAATAAAAGAAATATGTATTTAAGTATTTTCTTCCCTTTCTTCCTTACTTTTCGATTGTTTTATAAAAAAAAAGTTTTTAAAAAAATACTTCTCAGTAATGAAGATACAAGTCACATGGTAAAATAAGACTGGGTTTTGGTTGTATAAACTTATTTTATTTTGGATTTCTAATTATTTAGTGTATGTACTCATGTTTCCAAGTTCATTATTGTGCTGTTTTATTCTCCTCTTATGTAAGAAATAACTATATTATTATCGTTTGAAAAGTCTAAGCGATTGCTATGAGATCGTTTATCTTTAACTATTATGCTGCGATCTTCACATTCAACAAGGACTGCTGTATTCTCATTCTTTGTCCGTCTCGCAGTTTTTGGTCATTCAAAATACAGTTGTTTTATTTCTCGTATAAGCTGTGTTCTTTTCAAATTTATAAAGGTTCGTTACGAACAAGTATCTTAGTAATTTTCGAAAAAGAGCTTAGGCATGTCCTGGTGTTGAAATAAATATTATTCTTTGTTCATGTCACTATAATAAACTATGAGGGGCGAAACTTGTTCACACTCGGTTTGTACAAAAATATTGGCTTACTAAATTTACGGACCATCACAGACATGTTCGAGATCGTTGAGTCTCATTCACCGGGTTGTGTTAAAGTATATGGTTCTGGACAGTAGGATATATCAGTTTGTCAACTCTTATTGGTTAGGAATAGGTTTTATGTAACACAGATCATGTTGTCAATGATGACTTACATTAGTAAAGACCATTTCATAAGCATACTGTCCGTTTGGCTAAGTAGTGATTTGATTGTTACAGTTTTTAGATGAAATTGTTCGTAAACGATAATTCATTTTAATCGCTAGACTAACATCATTATTCGCGAATTTTTTGGTAGGCCATACAATCACTGACTTGTTGATTCAGTCGAGTTAATATATTTCCAGTTAAGCTAATTTTAGTGTTCGTATAAGACATTTGTTTCGTAAACATCCTGTCGCGTTATTCAAAATCTAATGCAATACATTCAAGTGCGCACACTGTTATGACCCAGTCGTGATTATTGGAGTACGTACTGGTTAGATCTAGGAATCCCCTAATCCACATGTAACAATCGATACCACTAAATCTTCGAAATATCTTACTTGTTAGGTTATATTTTGTTTGCCTTCAAGCCTGTGAACAACTTCATTATATTGCACTTCCCTAATAAGATTTATGTCAATTTGGCCATCACCAGTAAACCAAAAGGTATCCTATGTAGTGAATTTAATTTCACTCGAACTTAACAGTATGGGTAACGTTTTATTGCATGTTACCTACCGGATTCTATCTCAAGTTTGCTGTGTGACAATCAAGTCACTAAAAATCCCGCTAGGACTTCATTGAAAAAATTCACATTTGGACTTATATACTACGGTATACCTTCACTCAGTAGTTATCAGTGAAGACAAGTTGTATTTTACGGAAGATATATAAAACAATAATCAGAATTGGATCATATTGTTCTAATGCTGGAGTTAATGAGGTAACAAACTAATCAATTCGGTACAATCTCTGTTAAATATGATCACCCAACTAGCATGCATCCTTATCGTAAAAGCTAACATCTCTCTCGCGAAGATACAGATCACAATGGTTGACACAATCCCTAGTAACATTTTACTCTAAACCACAACTTCCGAACCTGATATGCGAACCCTTCTCAATCAAAACAGTACTTATGATAAATATACCATCTGTTACACACAATATTCCAACTCTCAAATAATCAATGACTGACTTTGGTATTTTGCATTTACGGTATCATAACTTTGTACAGAAACTGGTCAACTTTGAATTTTTTTGTATACAAGAAAAATAAGTGAAATCACAGTGGTAATTCATCTGGTCTTATGGCAAGTCTAACATCTTCAGGAAATAGTTCACTGGCTCTTGAGTGCATTGCACGATAAGTACATGTGATAGTAGCCTCAGCGCATCCCGCCACATCACCAATGTCTACAAAGGAAATTATCACATTGTTTATTAACAGATAATAATTGGATGTAATATAACGTTTAGGTACATATTTTGAGGATTTTTATCTACGCTGCAACCTGAAAGTATCTTCGATAGCATAAAGTGGTCAATATTTGTGTCATTTTGTCGCCTTTTTCCAAGCCTAAGCTATCTTAACTGGTAATTGCTTTTTTTTAATGTACTGAACGACTATTCGTTACAATGCTAAGCAAAAAGGCCAAAGTTAAGTGGTAGTTGGATTCCAAGCACTAGATTTTAGTTAATATTTATTCGTTTACAAATGAGAACCATCATATGTGCACCTAGTACAAGACATTTTATAGACCTTGGTTGGCAATCAAAGCTCAGCTATTTACGCTATCAATACGGCCCTAAGCAGTTTACACTATTAAGTTAGGACAATTCATGTAGTCCAATGCAAAACCTATAAGCTTACATTAGCTAATAACATAATTTAGGCGTAAATGACTAATATTTTGGTAACACAAACTAGATGGAGTAATCAAATAGGAAGTTCATCATGACAGCGTACGTACTACGGCAATATTGTTAGATACAATTACGTTTTTGAAATTTACATACATAAGCTGAACCATAACCACACAAGCAAACTGAAGTACAAAGAATGTTTCAAAATATCGTACACCTAGTTCATTCGCAGTCTTCCTACAAACACAGAAAGTGCGGCTCAGAGCCGAGTACGAATTGCCTATAGTTGGTGCATTAGCCACCTTTAGTTATGTATCAATTATCGAACGAAACGACCAACCAATGAGTAATGAACATTACGAAAAAAATCAGTTCACATGATGTCTGAGTGGTAATAATAGTTATCAGATACGAATAACTGTTCCACAAGGGTAAAGAAAATAGACTGCTGTAGTTTGGAGTAGTATCTAGGAATATAACTTCTAATCCCTGCCCTCTGCTCTAACGGACCTTACTGAATATACAGCAGTAGTCAGCAGCCACTATTTCAACCTGATAATTATGTTCGCTATCTTCACTTAATTGAATAACATTTACTACTGATCGCATTTGTAGCGTACCAGCCAATTCGTATCCCTTCTGATGTAAATCTATAAACATATTTTTGTGAACGCTGCTGGTAAAAATTGAACTATGTTTAAGACAAAACGATTAATCAAAAACCGAAACGGTTATCGAATTAATGATTTCAGAATGTACTGATTAATTATACCTGAAATATTTTCACCAAGTTTAGTAAGTCACCAAGACGTTATCACATAACGTAGCAGATTTCTATCACTCTGATTATTTCACATAACATGAAAGTAAACATTGAAAACAATAACATACACTATGGTTTGTCTGTGAAGAGAAACTGTTAATTCAACTCTATATAGATACATAGAATTCTAAATTCTTTTTAAAATCTAAAAACATTAACCTAATATACGAATATTCGTCAATATTTGAGCCAATAGTTTGACAGGAATTGGTCACCAATTATACAGATGTTATTTATGAAAATTATGTTTGGAATAATCTTAGTGATTGAAATTTGAATAATTTCAAAGTTTCGTCCAACAAACTTGTCTGAACTTCTTCAGTGTAATAGTCAAGATCAAAATTATCAAAGAATATTTAATGTTCAACAATTGAATCTACACTAAATACTTATACAATCATAATCAGATGTTGACTTTAGTAACTAGGATAAATATGAGTCAATAAGATGTGAATCATGTGAAAAATTCATAATTTGAAATTAAATGAATGAGTGATTTTATGTATGGCTGTATATATGTAATTTCATGTTATTAATAGTTGATAGATGTTAATTTGCTTTTTTGTTTATTAGAAGAATAAATGTGCAAATTGAAAATGTTTTCAAAACGTCGATGTATATGTAAAATGAGAATCATCAAATACATAATTGTAATGATGAAATATTTAAATTAATTCCTATCAGCATAACTGTACATATGAAACAAACAGATTGGATAGAGATATGGTCCAAATACTTGTTACTAATGGTTGAATACCTCTTGATTATTACCTTAAAGAAGTTCAGACAAGTTTGATAAACGAAACGTTGAAATTACTTAGATTTCAATCGGTGAAATTATTTCAAATATGATTTACACAAAATCTGACAATTCTGAAAAACTTTACTATCAGTAAATGAAGAAAACAATGATAGTTACCTCGTTTTTCTTTACGACAACCTAATGCATAAGCTGCCATATAAATGGCTGCGGCTGCCACCGAAACTGGGCTACGACCAGCAACTAAATTTAAGTTAAGAGCTCTTCTAGCAACCACATTTGCAACTCTTTGAACAGTAATGTTCAAATTGAGATTACCACAGAATCTAGACATGAAGTCTTCAACTGTAACCGATTGTACATTTGTCTCAAGTATTTTTAGAATCTTTTTAAAAACTTTTCCTATTTCTTTCTTTGAAACTCGTGACACAGCGCATACTTCTGAAAAAGACAGAAAAATATGAAACATCTTTTATTCATAAACTAGTCATAATAATTTATATGACAGGATAAAAATGCAAAATTACATTCCTAATTCATTGTGATTCTTATTTTACATTACTTACACTTTTAATTCTATATGATTATTCAATATAACAATGATTTACTTCATTATATGTGAAAATTATATTTGAAATATTCTCAGCGATTGAAATTTAACTAATTCCAACGTTTCGTCCAGCTAACTTGTCTGGACTTCTTCAGGGTAATAATCAAAATCAAAATTATCAAAGAAATATATAGCTTTTAACAATCAGGATTATACTGTGTTAAACCAATCATATTTGGATGTTGATTTTTTGTAAAATAGGATAAAATGAGTCAGTTAACTACAAATCATGTGATGAATTCAACTACATGGAAATACTTAACTGAGTAACAAATCGTATGTGTGTGTGTAGGTATGTATGTATGTGTGAGAGATTGATATGAAGGAATAAATAAAGTTCAAGTTCAAGGATGAAAACTTGATAATGAAAGATCGATGTGCATGTCAAAACATAAATTGTATTGTTTAAAAACTCATTCAGTTCTTTCAATAATAATAACGATGCATGTGATATTAAAAACAGGTTTAAACAAGAGATAGGTTCCAAATTTACTTGTCAAACGAAATTTGCCAGGTAGTTGCCATTTGAATACCATCTTTTCGGTTCAGGCTGTTCTTGTTCGCCCATATATGCAGAGCTTCTGCTGTCAATCTTTCTTTATGGGTGTTAAAACCTTTCTGAAGTATTTTGGTCCCTTCAAAATTAATCTTGTGTCCTGTTTCTAACGCATGTAACGCTATCGCTGACTTATTTTCAAGTTTCTTTAAATCTACCGAGGATTTTGGAACATTTTTCAAGCATTGTTTGTGTTCCTTCAATCTTACATTTAATTGCCTGGATGTTTCTCCAACATAGGTAGCATTACAGTCATGACAGTGAATCTCATACACAATGTTCTGTTGTTCTTCCTTTGCTAACTTGTCCTTAACTTTCACCAATGTCGATCTTAATGTGTTATTTGCTCTAAAATACACTCTTATATCATGTTTGTTTAGAATCCGTTTGATTTCTTCTGATGTTTCACTCCGGTAAGGTATGACTACGGTGTACTTCCATTCTTTTCGTATACTTTCTAGTTTAGTTTTTCTTTCATTTTTAATAATCTTTTTTAAAAACCTTTTTGGGTAGTTGTTATCCCTAAGAGTAGAAAATACTTTATTTAATTCGGTTCGTTGGTCTTCCTTGTCTGTAACAATCTTAGTACTTCTGTTCATTAGATTTTTTACCACATTAATTTTCGTGCTCTGTGAATGGGCTGAATTAAAATCCAAGTATCTCTCGGAATGTGTTGATTTTCTGTAAACATTTATTTTTAACTTCTTATTATTGTGTCGACGTTCAACCAGACAATCTAGAAATGCTAGTTTGTGGTCAACTGATTCTAATTCCTTAGTTAGTTTAATGTTTTCAGAAATGCTGTTTGCATTGTTAAATAGTTCTTCCATACCATCCCGTTTATTGATAATAAAAATATCGTCTACATACCTTAACCATAACTTTGGTGGACATAAACTCTTTGCGATTGCACTAGTTTCTAGGGAATGCATGAATAAATTCGCTACAATCGGAGAAACTGGTGAGCCCATTGCTATACCCTCTTTCTGTCTGTAAAGTTGACCTCGAAATATGAATAAGGTAGATCTTAAACATAATTCTAAGCATTTTATAACCTCTGATGGATCTAATGGGCATCGTAAATTCAAATCTAAATCAGATTCTAAATAATCATTGATAATATCCATAGCTCGACTGATAGGTACATTAGTGAATAAGGAAGATACATCAAAACTTGCCATTATTTCGTCCTCTTCTATATCGATGGTATCA